GAGTCAAGCGTCACATTGAAAAGGTCAGTCTTCTTCCGGTATTTACTGACGAAGTCCAAACGAACTTTATTACTGTCTCGCCCTCGAAAGAAAGCTTTAGGAATCCTCTCACTCCAGGGAAGGGAAAGACCTTGTTGTAACCACATCATATCTAATTCAACCCTATTAGTGTGTGTGGGTGGGTGTATGGGAACAGTAATAATAGAATAATTATAGAGTTTGGCACATTGACAGTGACATTTGACAAACAGTGAGATAATGCCAAATAATAATGAAATATTAAGATAGAATAAATCAAAAATTATTGCATGTGTATGTACATGTACATATACAATGTTAGAATGTCAAGGTGCTATTTTCTGTGCTTATAACAATGAAACTCTTTTAGTACAGCATTTATATTTTGTGGAAAAAATTGTTCCTATAGTGTCAGGCATTCACAAATAAAAATTTCACAAAATAAGCAAGCACAAGGTATTGCATATAAATTTAATTTTGCAAATTATAACCATCCACGAAATTGATGCAATGTACAAACAGCAGATTCAATTGCTTATTGCTTATTCAATGGCATTTACATGTGTATACAATGCATGACTCTCTATATGGTATCAGACTTTCCTTATTGATGAGCAATATGTCTCCTTTAATTAATCATAATTACATTTATGGGCTATACATTAATAATTACGTTAAGTAATATGTACATGTTCTGTATGTTTTATTTTATGTGAATCATTTGATTGTAATAGTCCATGGAACATGCACACATTATTAATTTACTATAAATGTTTCTACTACAAGAGTTTATCAAAGGCAATGATTGTCATACCACAACTGTACACATCTGTAGCAGGCCTTTGTGGTTACACGCACACACACGTATACATTATGACTTCCTATAAAATATTTCAGTGATGACATCAATATAGTTTAACATTTTGATTCATTCGCATTAGATATACTATATAGTAATAAATTTCCATGGCCCAAAAATTGATCTATTTTGTTGTTTTAATTTTCACAATTTTCTGCCATATTGCCATGCATGCATGTTGAAAAATAAATCAGTTACTGTGGATTTATTGTCATGAATTTTGAATAAATCACAAAATTCACAAAAACGTTTGGCCAGGAAAGATTCTAGCTAGCTGCTATACAGTACAAAAGAGTATAATACATGCACAAATGGACCTGACCGAAGTGACATGTAATTAACACCTTAATCTGTTTAACAAAATAACTATATTAACATGTACATGTACATGCACAATTGCACATGTAATAGGTGTACATCCACTCTTAATAAAATTCATAATCATACCTGTCCATGGCTTGTACTGTATGTCTCATTAGGTCATACTGAGGCCATACAATGTCTCTATAGTATTCTGAACCACAACAGGAGAAGAATGGGAATGGCTCCTTCTTAGGATCATTCTTATCCTGCGGCCAATCTGAGACTTGAACTATGAACTCCATATCTGGGAGCTGTGCCTTTAATAAAGAGAGAGAAAAAAAGAGGGAGGGAAGGAGAGAGAGAGAGAGAGTAGTGTGGGAGACAGGATGAAGGAAAAGAGTTAATGTACCAACACAGTTACCATTTAATAATGAGGAAGTTGCTTGTTGAACCATAATTGGCTATACAACATGCAAACATAATCATGTCTTATATCACACCACTAGCAACATGTACATGTTCAGTTACATATAGACAGACAGACTGACAGACAGTGCAGTGAGACAGTTTACATGCAATTTCAGTTCAAAGTTTTTTATTTCTTCTATTGTGGTTTTAAAATAAACAAAACTAAAGGACCTCTTGTGACAATGATGATAAGGAGTGCTTTGTTAATTGATCAAGCATAACAATTACAATGGGCTATCACTACATTATACAAAGTACAAAGATTTGTTAACAAAGCACAGTAATGACAACATGTTGATAGCTTTAATAAAACTAGCAGACCAGTTCTAATAGTACTCATTCCATACATTTACAAGCAAAATGAGCAACTTTGAAGGCTCATATCTCTGTCAAATAATTTTTACCAACAATAAGACTACACGTAAGTATAGTATTTTTATGATCATATGATTATATTAGGCCAATAAAAAATACGAGAAAATTATGTCAGTTACACTTTAACAACAGCAAATTGTACTGTACTACTTTCTCTACCTTTAATAAAACACAATGTATTCAGACCAGCTCTATTAGTACTCATACCCACGCACACACTTGCAATTAATACTATTTTGGATACAACCACAATGATTAAAATTAAATTTACCAGAACAGAATTGAATCAACTGTTCTCATATCAATTTACTTGTGTATGTATGATAGACACAACAGTGTCTTCATTTATTTTTTAATCTCAATAGACATATTATTGTTTGTTATTCTTTATCAAAAAGGATAATACAGCTGTGTAATACATTTAATTAGTTTTTAGTATCATCAGATTACACGACTAATAGACAAAATCTTTAGAAGTACAATTATTCATGTATCATCAATCATATCTCGCATCTCTCATACAATTACATTATCATACTTGTAGTATAAAAGACCATGACATGGTTAAGTACAAAAGTACTAGTAAAATGAGGGCACCTTTTAAGGACAGATAGCCAGTGTGGTGCCAATGGCTACATGACTTGGATCTCAATCCGAACAACAAAAATCATGTCTTCACAGGAACAAACTAAGCTAGCTAATTAGTCTTATAGAATGACTTTAAACATTTTATTATATCAGTATTAATACATGTACATGCACATTGTAGTTTGTAAGTAATAATTACATGTAGTGGGCCAATTTAATACCATAAAAAGGATATAACCAAAATCATGTTACTTTTATTAAATCATAGATACATGTATATGGAAATAAGAAATTATAATAAGAATTTAATAATCCATATCACATGTACATCATTAAATTAAACATTTACATTTATGTGTGGTAGTGAGTTACCATAATTGGGAAAACAATCATTAAAACACTCCTCTTCAAAACTTTCAATATGGACACAAGAAATAACAGAAACAAGGCTGCATTTGGATTGAGGCGAGTTAATATCATATACCCACACAGTCATAAGATATAAACAAGAAGTAACAGAAAGATAAATTAGACTGAGCTTTGAACATACACAGTTCATGTATGTACATGTCATGGAGACTACAGGAATTCAGTACAAAGAGTCTACACTCATACTTGAACATAATAACACATACACAATGTACACACTAATTGATGTATAGTAGTTATACATGTACCGGTACATAAATAACTAAAACAATGAATAGCATTGTGACTTAATCTCTTGTGGGAAATTGGGAATTCAATTACACTATAGCCAACACATGTATAGAGTACATACACACAGACACACACCTACATGTACTAAACAATAGATCATACACATGTACATGTACAATCTACATGTACGTAATCCCAACAATTACATGTATGTGTATGAATACATAACACATTGTACATGTATGTATATGTATAAAATATATACATGCACTGTATGTGTGTATATATATCCCATAACTAAACTAACCAGTTAAAGTAACCATAGCTTTATGTACATTAATGCCACCATTACCATGCAAAAAATAAAGGACAATTAAAGGTTTCATTCCTTGAACAACCGATCGTAATCATCCTTCCATTTAAGGAAAACGTGAGAACATGATGAAAATCAAAACAATAATTAATCAATAAAGCACTGCTGCCAGTAAGATTATTAAATTAGAAATGGCATGTATGTCATTGCAAACAAACAATTGAATACTTGTGGTATCACTGTAACACAAAATTTGCAAAAGAACTTGAAGAATTTCAAAAGGCACTTGCGACATTCTCCATTGACAATAAGTTTAGAATAACTCTTCACCAGCAGACGACTCATTACATACCACTGATATGTATATAGACCATACTTTACAATGAGCAAGATATTTCAGTGAACTATGATGTTATTCTTCCAATACAAAGTACACAGAATAAAAAATTACTATTTTAAAGAGGCTTGCCACTGGCATATATTATACACATACATGTACATTGTAGGCTGTAGCTGAAATTTCAATGTTTCATTATACTAATTACATGTACATGCTTGATCCATATAGACAGACAATTTTTCAACTAGTAAATGCCGATACAAAAGTACAGGGTTAGTTCAGCCTCATTTATCATGAACAAAACAAGCCGACAGAGTACAACTCTAATTAGCAGCCATCCCTAGTCCATAGAAAGCCTGCAGGTATTACTAATACAGCTGAGTGATTATTAGTTATCTTGTTAGACATAACAGTAACTCCTTCTTTAGCAAATTCCATAACATATATGTTAAATAAAATAGAATAACAGCTCAATATACTATACACCACATATGTGTATATAAGTACATGTATGATACCATACACTACTACTAGATGAAGTCTTAGGGTGACCTTTAGATTATTAGTACTAGCTACTCTGACCTACATGTACAATGAGATTAAAACCGCACAAATGTTCACCAACACATTCCAAAACATTTTTATTAGGTTTTAAAATATCTACACCTAAGGATTATCATTTGTTTGACAGGTATAATATGTACGCACCTGTAGCAACAAAATAATACACACAAAGGTATCCCTATTCATCATTCCTTGCTTGTTATCATAAACAACTCAAAAATGCAATACAATTATGAGGACAGATATTATTCCCATCTGTGTGTGGTGGCTAAAAGACTAGTTCTCATTCTAACTTTAATTAGCGCATAACACAGTAAATTCCCCTTTTTTGCTCTCGCGTACAACATGTTCACCAAACATACATGTATACAACCAACTACAACAACTATGAAACTCACACGCATACACATACTTGTACATACAAGTACACATACACATAAATGCACATGTACATACACATATACATATACATACAATGTACATACATGTACATTTAATAGGCATGGTGGGTTATGGGTAATAATATAAGGTAGGTGGATTACATAATCACACAGGTGTACAACCTACACACATTAATAAGTATTGTATAAGTTCAGGAGTGTACAGTACACATTAGTAATAGTCTGTGTGGAGCAGGTGGGCTTATTGGGAAAAAGGAAGTGAAGGGTTTGCAATTTCCAGATGTTACCAAAGGAAGATCATACATGTATATGTGATCAATAAGTTCCAATATGTATACATACATATACATCATCAAAAACTATCTGAGTCATTCATCGTATACATGTACATATACAAATTATACATCCCTTTCCACTAACCTTGTTCAGCATTGAAGTTAGTATCATATCAGACATGGCCCTGAAATCTGTGATGGTACCAAATGTCTTCCCATACAACTACAAAGAGATCAAAAAATGATAACAGAGGGAGAGACATATCTATCAAAATAGACTACATACATGTACATTAGCTACCACAACACATGATACATGCATAAGCAGGTATTCACAGGATTATTTGTAAGGACTGACAGCTGTCATCCTAATGCAAAACAATAAAATAAGAATTCTTTTTGAAGGGATTCTTGAGATACTGTTACTATAAAGCATAACCATCCTCTGAGAAGGTTAGGAGGATACACACAGATAAAGAATGCTGCATGCTGAGTCACGTCACATAGGAATGATCACACGGTATATCTATTCATGTACATAGATTTATGCACCCATGACAGTTATGAATATAGTGCAATGGTCTATTGTGATCTTCTCAGATTTATAATACTGCATGCAGCAATGATCAAACAGTATTAACCATTCATGTACATGTACGTGTACATGTACATAGATTTATGTACCCATGACTATAATGGATATAGTGTAATGGTCTATTGTGATCTTAGCAGATTTACAGTACTGCATGCAGCAATGATTACATAGTATAAACTATTCATGTAAAAGTACATGTACATAGATTTACATACCCATGACTATAATGGATACAGTGTAATGGTTTATTGTGATCTAAGCATATTTATAATACAGCATGCAGCAATGATCACATATGGTATACCTATACATGTATTTTATGTATAAATTATGTACTCATGACTATCATGGATATAGTGTAATGATCTATTGTGACCAAACCAGACTCACAGTACTGGATGACTCATTGTAATGAAGCAACCTTAATATACATAATGTACATAATATTAATATAATTATGATTCAAAGTACTGCACTGTATTACGTTGTTTGTCATTTCAGGACACCTGCCCTAACCTAACACCACAGGTGTGAAAACACTTATCATACTTTGTTTACTATTATAGCAATCAACATCACTCAATTTCACTCAACACAGACACACAAATAAGTTTACCGGTGGAAATACATAAAAAAAACAATTTTTAATGTGCTACCTCATTTATCACATGCGTCCTCTATACAGCTCGTAATAAATAAAGTGGTTAACACAATCACATAAATAAAACACGCCTAACACCTTAAATGTGTCCTTTATTAACACTTCAAAAGTAGATGCACATACACAAAAATAAACAACTTGCTTACTTTATTATTAACGATAGAGTAATGAATGCCATGAGTATTGGAGAACTCGTTGGCTAGTCTCACTGGTAACTGACTCAGTTTGATTCCCTTGCTCTTATAAAGGGCTAGACTATCATCAACCTGCCTATACGACGATGGACACTTGAAATCTTTTAGCCATTGCTTCACGGTTCTCTCTGGACAAAAACACTTATCCACAAGTGCTTTACCTACATGCACATGTATTACGACCAAATATTACATCAACTAATATTCTACATGTGCATTTACATGACATTTTTATTATCAATACTCTATGCACTCATTTCTGTTCATACCAATAGTATAGGGTGAGTCTCCGATATGTTGATTGTTATATTTTACTGATATAGATAATGACGCTACCTCGCGATGCAGTCTGTACCGAACAGCAAATAAACCTTCCCTCAAGTAATGAATCTTTTTATTGACAAAAACACGAGACTCGGGGGAAGAAATAAAATCAATAGTAAGGAGTGATTCATCGATAGCCCCTTTAAACCTAGGGAATGACAAAAAATAGAGTAATTAAAAGACAGGTCACGCATGGGAATATACATGCATACATATGTACATGTACAAGGATTAAAAGAATTAAATCGTTAATGGTTTTGGAATGTACTAACAATGCTAATACAATTGCTCATTAACAGAAGAACATTCATGTAGTGGTGTGCAACTTATTTGGTATAGAGAAGATTAACTATTAATTATACCATGAAGAAGAAGGAAGAACAAAGAGACTGGGATAGATATTATATGGGGTATACATGTACACAAAAAGACAGGGTGTAACCATTATCATATGCAATCTGTGTATTATAATCAATCACACCCATCTCAGATATCAAAAAAGAAGAGAGTAATATTAATTTTGCTCAATAAATAACAGTCTAAGATTATACAAACTGTAATACAGCTGTCATAACTGTGAAAGAACAGTAGCCAATACAGTAGGCTGGTGGTTTTTATAGTTACAACATCATAATACAGTGGACTAACCAATGTTTTTTATGGAAATGTATATTTATTTTTATTACAATTCAAAACAAGAGGGGATACTGTAATTTTGGGGAAGATTAATGAAATTTCTGCTATGTTCATGTGTTCAATGGTGTGTGGATATAAGAATGCCATATACATGTACATATATTGCTACCAATCGCAGGCCAATACCACTCATCTTAAGCTACTCATTATTTTTCATTTTATAATCAACAACTTCATCTGCCAACAATTGGCTAGCACTAATCTCACTAAGAGTAAACAATACCATTAATAATATTATTATGCTGAGGGCAATACACTACAAGCACTTTCCGAATTTCATTAACACTTCCATTTAAGGCTCAAGGGCATAACAGGCATTGACTTGTACTAAGTAGTAAGTAGTAGTCGTGAATTGTTCTAACAATTCTTATTAATTTTTCAAGTATGCTAATCCTTTAATTGATACAGCACTCACTTCTCTCCCCCTTCATTCATCAACTGAACATAAAAGTATTCCATTGGTAATGGCTGCCTCTTCCCGTCCACGCCGGGCCCTTCAACTGTACTCAATCCTGGGCTCAACCGGGACAAATTGGATCTATTCGGCTCAGAAGAAACAGCAAGGATAAAGCAGTAATTGTAAAAGAAGATAGACAACAGCAACCTCGAGACTACCATCTTTTTTGCAAGGATCACGCCTCCTTTCAATCAATGCAGTAAGTGAGCTTTTGAATGATTTTTTTAAATGAATGGTGTTATTCAAAAATAATAACAAAATACATTTTTGTTGATGACAACAAGTGAGTAATGGTATTTATAAGAACATATACAGTCAGTGACAAAACAGAAAGAAAGAGAAAGAAGAATAGAAAGAAGAGAAGAGATAAGAAGGAGAGAGTATTTATTTCATAGAGGGTTAGTAATGAGCGTCTCTCACATCGCACCAGAACTGAGGAGGATTCTTAACAGCTGAAACTAAATCCAGACAAGCTGGAAATAAAGCTTTGAGACTCTCCTTCATTTTATCGAGAGGAGCAACACTAGGATACTGGAGAGCTGCTGTTTTCGTCTCAGTAACAAGACTCTTAATAGTATCAGTTAATTGGTTACTAGAGCTAGCTACAGTTGCCTTGATGTCGTTATGCAATAGTTTCTGATGTAACGAATCTGCAATATAGACTAGTTTATACGCTGCTACAACAGAGAGCTTGCTCTTTATGACAAACTCTTTGGGCGATTCTGAATTACGTATACTCTCTAGGAATGTTTGAATGGCATCTTTAAGACCTGGAACCAACAGCTCCATCTGCTGACAATAACGTGCCAATAGCTCCTTGTCCTCTTGTCTCAGAGGCTGAATCGAAGGTGGACTATTGGAGCGTCTCATACCATTTGGTCGACCGTAAGGATTATAATTAGAGCTAACATCAGGCGATCTGCTTCTCATAGGACTACCACTGCCATCAGAGCTACCAGAGCTTTGACGAGCTAGCGGGTGACGAGACTTTGATGTGGAAGGACTCAAGTAGTTGTCGGTACGAGGTGGAAGAGGAGGTGGTTGAGATTCAGGCACACCAGTTGCAGCCCCATCAATATCGTCATAGTCATCTCCGTCGTATGAGTTCGGCATTGGTGATGGCGAGGCTTTCTTCTTTGGGGCTTTTCGTAGCGTTGCAAATGGAAGAGGAGGAAGGATGTCCTGTGGGTTTCGTCTGCGGGAATTAGCTCCTAATGTGTTGTCTGAATAATTTGATGACATTTGGTGAGTGTTATCTTCTGATTCCATTGATATGTCAGCATAGTCGCTTCCAGAGTCGAGTCTTTTTGATCTCCTTGCCTCAGGTAGCTCAGGAAGAGGACGATTCTTGACTTCACTCTTAGTGAGTACTGGTAATAATTCATCTACACTTTTAACCGAGGACTTGAAAAGGATGGTACGATTAGCTTGTACTAGTATTACAAAAGCCTGTACAGCCTGAGGTATTGTTCTAGCTCCTTCTAGGAGTGATTTCACAGTAGCAGTGACTGGGACATCCTTCTCATCAGCTTCAAGTAATTCGATCTTTGAGAGGATGTCTTTCTTCTTATTAACAAGTATGGCATTAGCAGCCAAATACTTCTTTTTAAAGTTGGCATCTTTCATGTTGGAACTCTCTAGGGCCATGTGTACGCCTTTACCAAACGCAACAAGACTCAAAAGTATATTGTCGAGGTCTTTAGCAGCTGTTAGTGTACGCTGGAGTGTTTCCTTACGTCTCATTTTCATTTCAGAGCCCCAGTATGCATTATTGCCATACACGCACTGCCAGAGGTCATCAAATTTACGATCAATATCTGTTTTACTCTTACTAAGAAACTCTTCAGCTTCATTCTCATACATTGATGTGACGTCCATTACTTCACCAGAGCCACGTCTACTCCCGGGACTATCACCGAAAGCATCTAGTGGAGGCGTGTCGTAAATAGCAGAGGGACTAGCTGGAGGAATGTCGTAAATTTGATTCGTTGAACTAACAGAAGCACTTGACACTCTGTTGCTGGTATTTGTGCTCAGATATGACTTGCTGCTGGGCGGGCGATCCTCTGAAGGGTGAGGATCAGCTGATGAGATCTCTACTGGAGGGAAATCGTAATCATTGTCCTCAGGGGGTGGGAGGTCGTATATATCTTCACTTGATGGGCCGGGGGTAGCACGACGGGGGAAATCGTAATCAGCATATCGGGGGTCCAACTCGTGGGGTGCAGGGTTAAGGAGAGCTGTATTTGGGGGTGTGGTACGATTGGCGGAATTGGCACGTCCTTTTGACTGGGATTTAGGTATGTCGTAGTCAGCCTTCTCACTGATGTCCTCTTTCTCCTTTTGAATGGACGTGGAGGAGGAGGTTGTGTTGGAGGCCGGTTTGGGCGAGTGAGGATGAAATATCTCGAGGTAGTTAGCAGGCACCATTCCAACGTTCTCTCCAAGGCGGCAGAGCCACCAGTCAACCTGCCCCTTGTAGTCTTTCTCTAGTACTTGTAGTATCTCGTCTTTACGGAAAGTTAGCTCATCCTCGGCGTCAGCTTGGTTCGGGTAGCGAGCCCTTGCAAACAGAGGAGTCTGTCCTTGACCCTGTTAAGAGAAAGAGAGTAAGATTATACTTGCTAGAGATGTGAGAGAGGACTATCTTACCATTCTATGAACGTCGGCAGTCATTGTTCTCTCTTTGTCCTTCTACACCGTCAAAAAACAAGAAGGTTGGGGCCGGATTATTGAGAAAGAGGTTGTGGATCAGTAGAAATAGCTCGCTAGCTATAGCAGTAACACACAGACACTTTTGTTCTTCTTTCAGCAAGGCAAAGGGAGAGTAGCGTGTTTATCTGTTTGTCTTGAGTTTTCTCATACTATTGTGAAACCTTTTTATATGTCCCCATCCTAGGCTAGCCACAAGAATGCAATGTGTTCTTCTGGTGGGTGGGGCTAACTGCCTGCAAATTTCTTAAATTTGTGCAAAACTCAAACAAAATGGCGGAGGAGCTACATGTACTCTCGTGACTGCAAACTGGTTCCTTTTGGTGGTTTTCATGGCTTTTATAGCCCCAGGATCAGATGAAAGACTAACCTCATTTATAAGTAAGGCGATGCTTATTTTTTAATAATTTATTGACTGGTTTTAAGGTATATGGGGTCACATACTGTTATGGTCTGTCATGTCTTCATCTCTCGTGTATCTTGTAATGGGTAGCTTGTGGGTCACCCTCTTAAAAGTTGGTCATAAGAAGTGGCATTTTAAATTTGGGGCTGGCGTACTATTTGTGCTATCGGCTCTCTGGAAAATGATATCAAAAGATGCCATTTTAAGTAAGCCTACCATTCCATACACCTACTCATCCATTGTACATGCATTGTTGAGAATTGGCATTTCCTGTAAGCTTGCAGAGCATGAAATTTTTTTATTAAAGACTTTCATTATCTTATCTTGTTATTTTTTATTAAAATTACAACCTCCCAATCTGCTTCAGACATCAAAGGGTCTAGATTTAACATGGGAGGGGTGTGTTTCTGAAAATACAGCTTTAAACCTGACACCTGAGAAAGTTGTGTACATGTACACATAGTGGGATGGCTTGTATCAATGAGGGGGTATAATTTATTGCCTCTAGGGGTTGCTGAAGTTTATTGATTATTAAGCGTGATCCTATTGTTCATCCATTCTCCCTGTCATCATGTGATCTCCATTTATTGCATAATTATGCATTGTTATGTACATGTACATGAATGTACATCCCAGCATGTGACAAGCATATGGTCCCCTCATTGGTTATGTGGTTCATGTAGTAGGGATTTGTTGTGGTATTAGCTTGTAGGTGTTATCATTAAACACTCGGCTCTCTTTCACATTCATAATCCTTGTTTATGACCACACAGACGTGCATGTACACACATGTATCTGTATTTATGCGTACAATATGTACGTGTACATTTATAATACATACATGAAGGTATACTGTTGTTGTTTGTTCATATATGTACATGCATATCTTGTTTGAATTCTTTAGAACTTGTTGTACAAAGGCTGTGGTATGAGTTTTACCAAATCGTACATAGACTAGCTGTTTGCGAGTTCATTCCAAATACATGTTTGTTGTTTATCCAGTACCACTCTACGTCCAGTATAGATTGTGGTGATTATCCCAGTTTATGAGCCTCTTTTTCTAAAGTTATGTGTATTGAGAGGCAGTGTGACTTGGCTATCCCAGACTGTGAATGACATTGGCTTCAGCTCTTAATGTGTTTTGACTAGTTCTTCCTCTTGTCCCAGTCTTATTGCATTCTTTACTCTTTGTTCATATGGGATATAATGTTAATTATTATTAATCACACATATGTACATGTACATGTGCATGTATTATTTTGGCACACTCATAATGTTTATTACTACCTGTAAAACACTGTTACACGTGTAACTGATGTAACTATTAATTTCATTTTGCATGCCATACAATGCAGTGGTGCCAGTTGTTATTTTTCATTTAATTCACTTTTTAAAATGTAAGTTTCATACTCTCATATCACATTGTCCATGATTGAAAGTACATGTACATTTACTTGTTTAGGTACATGTACAAATATTGTAGTTGAAGCAAGTGATTATTTTAATTTTCGTTAGAGGAATGTCTGTGTGTGTGGTCTTATAGTGTTTGTGGTTTTAAATATTTCTTTCATATTACACATAACAATTACAGTACATGTAAGTAAAGGCAAGTAGTGAATTTCTTTACCTGAGGGTCTATCCTGGTAATATCCTCATTTCAATTCCTGCATACTGTATTATCTCACTCCTATTATCACAGATATACATGTACATGTACATGTATTATCTACAATGTTTATGCTATTATTACCTTTTGTGTGTGTGTATGCAGTACTGTTCCTGTAATGCTGCTATCATTAATGTGGCTTTGTACCATACTTGTTATATTATGCATGGTGTATAAGTGCATGCCTATGTATTATGTCTATCACACATGTATGTATCCTTATTGTACTGCAATGGAATGCATGGAGGAGTTTGACATTTACTGCTAATGAACTGAACTGACATGTACCGTACAGTGGACCTCACACGAAACAAACTTGTCTTAAATGATTTCTCAAATTGATTTTTGCACCATTTTTGATTTTCGAGTAATTAAGTTACGTGTATGACGGTGACCATGTCTGTAGCAATATTATCATCATCATTATTATTATTACCATTATACTATTGTTAGACGTTGATATCACAACTTAACTGTGTCTATAGTCATTAAGTAAGATTGTCTAGAATGTCCTTTGTGTCTCCGAGTGCATTATAGTTATGATAATAGTTGCCTTCTTGTCTGTCATGGTTACTATTACTATTGGCAGGCCTACATGAAAGCTGTCATTATCCCACAGTCATTTCCATGTACATATACTACTAGTATTGCTACATTGTATGTACATGTACATGTGTATAGAAGGGGGAGAAAAAATCAATGGATTGGGAGAGATTATAGTTTAGCAGCTATTTTAGAATGAAAGTACAATTATCTGACAACGGGTGGTCCAGGATATTATCATTGTCACCATACTGTACTAATTGCCATAAATGTAATGGGAAATCACTGTGTCAGTTGTGCCCAAATAAGGCAATAATCCTTGTATGTAGCTTATACATGTAATTGTTATATCTGTTTTTAATTTAATGATCTCAATTTTGTCGTTATTGTTATATGCATGCCAGATACATTTATTTATAGCAAGTTTTCTTTTGAGTCTGCATATGAGCAATTATATTGTGCAAACTGTCCTATTACCTTTTGTCATAATTCATTAATTTACACATACATGTACATGTACATGGTTTAGCTTCTGAGAGCACATGCGTATATGTACATTGCAACAGGTGATCAATAATTTCTTGTTACATGTAGATTATAAAAGCAGAATTTACATCACAAGAGTAGGATTTTTCTTTGTATTGGTGTATTTATTGTTTTAGAATCAAAGCTACACTGTGCATGTACATACCTTTAGTTTGTGTTACTTTTTGATAAATTAACACAGACTACAGAGTGATGATCCGATACTTATTCTTTTTAAAAAATTTTGTATTATTATAATCATTGAGTTACACATAATTGATTTTGCTTTTACATGTATGTAGATGTATGTGTACATATGTACTGTATATTAGTGCTAGTGAAGAGGCATTATAGCTATGTTAATTCAATCAATGACCGTTAGTTTGTATTATATCCCTAACAAGGTTGACCGAACAACAGGTCATGTACTCAAACAATGGAGTAATCTGTATTTACCTACTATGGGTAGAGAAATGCATTCCTCACACTTTGTCCCTGAGATTACTGTCATCACTTGTACCGTTAAACTCGGTACAATGTACATGTACATGTATGTATGTGTTGGTCATCTCAGCACTTTTATTATACTAACAGTGACGTACATGTACATGTAGCTATATTTTGACACAATTATTTTGGCTATTTGACCTGAAGCATTTTATGCCCCAGTTCTATTTTCACTGTCTTTAATTGTTTAGTCTTTGATATTTCTTGGATTTGGGCATATTAAATTGGTATCTAGTTACTCTTAGAATTACTTACATTTAGCATCATTCATTAGTGGTGTTCATATATGTATGTGTATTTAACTCAGATTAACTATCAAAGAACTTACATGATGCATGTACTGTATCAGAACATATATAATTTGGTAATTTTCTCAAGGTTTTAAATTTTTTTAATGTTTAGCTAGGACATGTATTTTAAAGATTTCTTGCAAATTAATGAACTTACATGTATTTGTATTAAAATTAAACATTTTGTGGATGCAATTGCAAATGCATACCGTATGTGGTAAAGAAATTAGCCAACAATATGTACATGTTACTTGTACATGTACGTCTATGTCCTTTCAACAGTGTGTATCATATTTTAGCACTTGCTGTGTACAAACTATAAGTACCATTAATTACTATACAATTTTGTTTTTGTTTACTTCTAAAAATCAAATTGTATGATCCTGTGAGATAAAGGCACTCTTACTAAGCATTGCTGGTATGAGACAATAGATACCATACCACCACCTTATACTCCTGGCTTCCTTATTCTAACTTTATGTATATAGAACTAGACCTGCATGTACATCTACCTGTATAGTTATGTAACATACACATAATGTATGTGTAGTTGTGTACCAGTATGATTCAATATGGTCCCTGAGAAAGCTAGCTATTTATTTACTATATAAGGTGATGTTTCATGTACGTGTGTATGTGTGTGTACGTGTATTCACAAATTTATAATGTGTTTGGGAAGGATGTGTAGTGACGTAACATATGTACAGTATCAGGTTTGAAATTTGTCTTGTAGAGTCATGTGTTTTTAATGGAACTGAGTGTATTGGAATCATGAACTGTGTAATTGTGTATGCACATAGTCATGTACATCCGCATGTACATTTGTGGTGGCTACCTTTATGTTCAATGCTCGAAATATCATTTTGCAGTTCAAACTTTTTGGGAAATGACTTATCGTAGTTTTACAAAGATTATCGTTTGTTAGTTTATGATTACCTAAGCATAATGATTCTCAAAAATAAATTAATTTAGCAATTAAACAAACTTCACTATCTCCTGAAAATATCAACAATTTTGTTAACAGTCAGCAAGACCTCATTGCCAATACGTGTGTACACATCCTAACCGTTGTTCTGTATGTTTATTGGTGATGGTAATATTTCTCTGTGGGAACTGGGAATCCACCTGTAATTACTACATCTGTGTGCTATTGTTACTACATGGATAGTCCATTTTCTTTTGTCATAATTGGGTTTTCCCATTTAATACTTTTACAGGAAATAATAATTGTTATTTGGCCACACATTGACTTTGTGGTCAACATGAATTACCTGTACTGGCTCATTTGTTTGTGTGATTATTGTGGTCACTCCTCGGGTTATTGTGAATAGATGACGATACATATACATGTACATGTACATATACATGTAAGAGACAGAAGAATGTATTCATCATTATTTGTACACAGTTCTTATGTATTGTAATGAGGGTTTCCCACAAAGCATACTAAGTGAGCTAAACATGTTTCATCAATTGACAAGCACTGTAATACAGCACATGGCTTTTGGAGCAACTTTAAAAATTTTTTAAATTCCAATTTGATCGGAATCACCTCAAAGTTAATGCACAACATAAGGGCATGTTTACATTTACATGTACATGTATGTATCAAAAAATTATGAAAATGGAGAATTCTCGCCTAGCCATTTTTACAAAATTCGGCTGATAACCCTATACTGTAGTACAAGGACTTTGGTTCAATTTTTAGTAACTTAAAAAAATTGTAAAAAAATCCATACACTATTTGAATCAACTCAAATTTGAAGCATAATGAGGGCATGCTTGTGTATCAGAAAAATTATAATAATAGGGAATTTTTAACTTCCTTTTTTGGCAAAATTTGGCTGAAAACCAAATGCATTTGGTCATTGCATAATTTTAGAGCAACTAACTGGATCGGAATCAACTGAAATTGAAGACATATTATGAGGATGTACATACATTGTATACTGTATAGTGGGTAAATTTAGAGGGGCTAAATTTTGGTGATTGGCGGATTTTTAATTTGGTGAATTTGTGGCCACGTGCCATTGAGCATGCGTATAATAGCTCAAAATGGTGGGTTTTTATTTTGGCGAATGGCTATCAAAACACCAAATTCACCAAATTTAATCCCCTCCAAAATTACCCGCTATACGGTATATCAGAAAAGAATTGTAAAATTGTCTTCTAGCCATTTTTGATTAAATTTGACCTGGTCCTGAACTACATTGTATAATAGTATAGGGGCTTTTGGCCTGATTTTTGGAGCAACTTTTAAAATTCATAAAATTTTAATTTTGATAGGAATCAGTTCAAATTTTCTAGGCAACATAAGAACATGTATATGCATCAAAAAAAGTTATAAAAATGGAGAATTATTTCTTGTGATTTTTGTTTAGAAAAACCTGTATAGTATTCCTGAGCATTTTAGAAATATTGGCTGAAGACCTTGGGCTGTAATACATGTAATTAGACCATTGGTTTCTGCTTCTCAAACTTTGTTGATAACAATTTCCTGTTTTGAAAGATTTATTTTTTGTGACAATTATTAGTATAATTTGCTAATTAGCTGTGGTCAATTATACTCACAACACTTGTACATGCAAGTCATTCATTAACTCGCTCCTGCTCCTGCTCTCTTGGTGACGCTCCCACTCAACTAACCTCAACTCTCACTTTCCGTTAATGATGTTATTTACTATGAGGTCATTGACCACTCACAGCCTGTCGTTTATTTACAATAAAACACTATTTGCCTTCTGTGTTGCTGACTCATTTGCACACATTTGTGTGGGGGTATACTGTAGGGGGGTTGATGGGTAGCCCACACTATACTAACATAATGATATCATGTACTCTATCAGTCTAAATCTCATAATTTATTTATTTTTGGAGTGTGCCAGTAGCAGTCATTGTGCTTCCCCCATCAATTACACATGAGACACACGTCATCCATTTTTGGTATTATTTGTTACTCATTAAACTACTCTGATGCGTAATATGTAAAAAATAGCTTTTTTAGTACATGCTTCCCTTCTCATAGTAATGGTAATGACTCTACATTATGTGTGTGTGTGTGTGTTTATGTTGCATTTTGATTATTATTACTTGAAACTGAATTGAAATGACTGATGTTTTGTTGAGTCAAGTAAAAACACAGCACATACATGTACATGTATTATGATATATAGCCATATATGTACATGTCATGGGCACAGCCTGCCGCATAGACTGTATTGTTTGTGGTATTTTTATGTGCTCATCTTTAATCCACAAAGTTAAAGGCATCTCCAATGTCATTTAAATCATGTCCAAAACAAAAAAGTAACTCACTCAAATTTATACATAGAACACTTTTCCTTGAAAAAAAAAACAAATTTTAAGGACTTAAAATTAGCATGCATAGCTATTAGTGTACATATATGTCGTGATTATGCACATGCATATTAGAGTACATTACAATACAGCACATATGACATTTGGAGCAATTTTAAAAATTCATAAAGCAATTTAAAAAATTATTAAAACCGAAACGTGATTGGAATTAATTCAAATTAATACACAGCATAAGGAAATGTACTTGTATATGTATCAGAAAAAAATTATAAAAGCAGAGAATTCTCTCCTTTTATTTTTGACAAAATTTGACCAAGTTTGTGAAAATCACTGAGGTATTTAGCCCAATTATTGAGCAATTTAACAGTCCACTGGCAAGAAGCTGAATGAGCATTATGCCAAATCCTGTGGGAACCCTGATAATTTGATTTAAAGCTGGTGATGATACAAATAGTCATCGTTAGCCTAGAGTACATCATGTACATGTATTATAAGGTAACAAAATATTATGCATCAGTTGTCATGACAAATAATTATTTTGCTACTTGTCTGTGTTGTGTTTCTTCTTCCTTCTTGTTTCCTCATTGCTGTTACTTAAACTATGATCTTCCTTCCTTATTCTCCGCCTGAGATTGAATTTTTTAGTTTTAATTTTTAAACTTCCTCTTCTTCCAAGCTCATTTGGCAATGTGTTGTGTACATTTAATATGTACTTCTTTCCGCTAAAATTTTTTTATTAATTTTTTCTAATTATTTTATTTTGCAGGTTTAGCTGTAGCTGGTATTTATTCTGCTATTGATGTACCATTGGCTGGTGAATGGGCACTTTTGTGGGGTGTGGGACTAAGTCTTATCACTATAGCAATCAATGTCTTCATTGCCTGCTGTCCTATTTATTCTGTACTTTAAATCCTCTTCCTCTTGTTTTCATTTTATTGTTTATAATTTTTTGCAGCCTCATCATGCATTAAAAATGCATTTTTAATTTTTGTATGTGAAATAATTGTTTCGTTATTTCACTACACCATTTAATTTTTAATATTATTTTTCACAATAATAATAATAATAACAATAATAATAATAATAAAAAACTCTACAAGTGGCTACAAAATGGTTGGGCTACAAATGATACACAAAAAAAGAACATCTTAACTGCATGGACTGAACTGAAGACAAGGACACAGACTGTTGGGGAGGGGGGAGGAAGGGAGGGTGATTTGCAGCTAGGCGTATTATAGGAGAGTGATGTAGCATCTCAGTAATACTTCTATGTTCATTTGGCACAAATTACAGTGGAATTGGTATGCTGGCTCAGTATTCTACTGAGGATTATCAGTACTGGCTAGAAACTTTTGATAATAGAATAATAATAATAATAATAATAATAATTATTATTATTATTGTTGATGCTCTACATTCTAATATAACTCTCTCTCATATTTCATTGTATGAAACTAGTTATTAAAACCGTATGAATTACAAAATGTCAAGTGTTATTATATATTATGTCATTATGTCAATGTACTGTAAGTTTATTCATTATCACTCACTCATTATAATAGTCTCACATGACTAAAGTTCATAATTGTAGTCCTGGTGTAGCAAGACTTCTCAGTCCTGTGCTGGATAAAGGAAAATTGTACACTTTGTGATCTGCTCTTGTCAGTCTGGTACTATATTATTGTGATTCTTTAAAGCTTTATTGTGATAAGGCCTAATGACAGTTGTTTCATGAACAGGTACTACCTGCTGTTACTAACATGTTACTGTCGCATACAACCATCAGACTATACCATTGGTAGAGTGTAGAGATATTAATATATTAGTGAAGAGTCATTTCAATCTAACTGGATAGAACTAGTACAACATTTATATGAAACTGTTTTTGTGCATCCATTACTTGAATATATTGAAATTGAAACTGAATATACAGTTGCTCTTCCAAAGGATACTCTTAAAGATCAAAAGAAGACATTGATTGACAGGCACAAAAAAGAACAACCACACAAACCACTACCAATAATAGTCATTAATAGAAATTAATGTACTTTATAGTTGCTGTAACAATTATTGTGAAAATTAGGTCATTATAATAATTACTTTTGTTAGATGAAGTCATTCTGATAATGTGTGAAGGTGATACACTAATTTTTTATAATATTGAAAGAAAGAAATGTGAATGTCAATAAAATTAATAATAATTGCAAATATTGAGACAAATACTTAAAGTATAGATCTATATGAAGATGTGAAAGTCATCTCAATATAAAAAGTTATCATAATAATGCATTAGCTCTAAACTCTCCTCCTTATCCACTCTAAATAATAATGGCTGGACTGACTAATGCATGTATTATCATTTAAGATAAATATAATGTTATGCTATACAATTAATGATAAAGTTGAATGAGTGTGCATCTAGTAGTTACTATGATGACAAGGAACGGTTTGACAGTTTGGTGGTCTTTTCTTGCATTGCTTTTTAGTGATTGAAAAGAGTTTCTTCACCTTAAATTAAAATTCAATTATGGACCTCATCAAAGTAATGCCTCACCTCCCTCAATTGGGCAAAGGTGGTAGTCATTTTATTCAAAATACCTACACATAAGCTCCAGTAAAAGGAACTAATAATTAAGCATATATTTTGATGAGAAAACTAGTTGTCATCAAAAATAGAAACAAGCATGGCAGAGTGCATTATTATTAACTCAATCCTCTTTAACTTTTCCAGCAGTCATTAGGAAAAGAAGATTTGCTTGAAACTTTTTAAAATAAAAGCAAAAAGTCTATTGATTGTGTTGGCACAATTTTGGCGAAAAATTGCTAAAGCATTATGTGTCAAACCATCACAGTTATTAGGCTACTCTACCTTAACTCCGTAACCCTTGGGAACATGATTATTTTAAATACAGTCCATTACCACCACATTTACCAGTTTGAGGATAGTGAGGTATTACTTTGATATGCACATAAGTTTCTATTTTATTTCTTTGATCTTTAGGATCACTGGTTCCACTGACTGGTAAACTTGCTCAGACTGAATTTTTATTCCTTTTCTGCAATAAGAACTTTTGTAATTATACATGAACAATCATAATACATCATACATATACATGTACATGGAATGATAGGACTAAAAATGATTTCTACAAAGTTTTTCTACCTCAAACTAAGTATCTTTTCTTTAATTTCAATTCTTTTCATCTCTGTGATAGGATACCTCCATAAAAACACTAACGTTACCAAAATGAATAGTACAGTAGGAGTGGAGACCAGTAATTTGAATAGTAACGTTGCAGTCCAAGGCTGCTCGCATGACAATTGATTATAATTAGCTAACCTATGATAGAGAAATAACTGTGAAACTATAAAATAAAAGTATTAGGTTCAAGATCTTGGTTTTTGTTCCTGTCCTGAAAGCAGTGGATGCAATCAGCACTGTCACACAGGGTTTTCCACAGGATGTTGGCATAGTGCTCAGTATCCTGTTATTTGTTTTTCAAATTTGTTCATAATTTTTACAAAACTAGGAATGAATGATCACATATAATAAAAGATAACTCCAGACAGTGGCAAAGCTCCTTAAAGGGTAAGTCCGGTGTATTTTTGGTGAATTTTTTTTATTGGCTTAATATGATTGCCTGACCATAATAATGATGTATTCCAACTCCCATTGTCTAAAAAAATTTTTTCACTGAGATATGAGCCTTCAAAGATGCTCATTTTTATTACTTCCTGTCAGTGGGTGTGGCTAAACGTGACGTCACTAGAGGCATAGATGCAGATAACTCCATTCCTTTATAGACCCCTTTCGATGAGAAGTAGCAGCTTGTGAATATCATTAATTTTGCAATGAATATCATTATATCTCAGTTACGGTATACGCCCACATACAATAATTGGCCGCCATGTTTTACGTCAAGCAGCAAGTGCTTTCTGTGTCCTGGAGATCTTGGTCACTACATTTTGAAGCTAAAAACTATTCTAGAGTCAAGAAAGATGCCAAGAGAGCCAACCTAGGAAGTATAGTGCAATACTCTTGTTGTATGAGCCTGCTTTCCTCTTTGGGCTGTGACAAAGTCAACTGAGAACTGATCGTTCTGGCTCTCCCAGACTTCTTAAGTCTTCAAAATGTCTTGCTATAGTAAAGAACAGTTGATATGAAGCCTCTCATAGTCCTGAGTTCAGCACAACAAAAGTTTTATTGGCAAAACAGCTCTACTTTGCACATCAGCCATTGTAACTCTGCATAACTTTGACGTAAAACATGGCGGACAAAAATCCGTTCAATATTATTTCTTTGTATATACGGTATCACAAACTAATTCTCGCCTAAAGGGGTCTATAGGGGGGAATAATCCTTTATTCTCATGCCGAGTAATGTAATAACACTAATTTAAAGATTGGGATCATTAGCTATCATAACTCTAAGCATGCAACTGCAAGAAAATGTCATAATACAAGTAGGCAAATTTTCTTGTTTGCTATTTTGAGTCTTTTTCTTGCAGTTGCATGCTTAAAATAATGAAAGCTAATGATCCCAATCTTTAAATTAGTGCTATTACATTACTAGGCATGAGAATAAAGGATTATTTCCCCCTATAAAGGAATGGAGTTATCTGCATCTATGCCTCCAGTGACGTCACGTTTAGCCACACCCACCGACAGGAAGTAATAAAAATGAGCATCTTTGAAGGCTCATATCTCAGTGAAAAAAATTTTTTAGACAATGGGAGTTGGAATACATCATTATTATGGTCAGGCAATCATATTAAGCCAATAAAAAAATTCACCAAAAATACACCAGACTTACCCTTTAAGTACATGCAAAAAGAGAATTCTTATTACATTTTCTAAATAAATGATAACATGTACTTTAGTTGTGTAAATTTTGAGCTGATTACAATCAAAGCTAAATTTTTATAACTTTTTAAAGTGGTTAAAAACAAAAAAGTCCCTGCATTTTGCATTTGTCATTAAAATGCTCATAACTCAAAAATTATTTGTCGGAAAAAAGTCAAGCTTTGTACATAGCAAATAGACATTAATGCATATGTAATAAAAATTTAGGATGATTTTAGAACTATTTTTTAAACTATGAACTACAGTCTTTGCTTTTTCCAAAAATTGCCAAATTTTAAAATGCTTCTAACTAAAAAAAAATTTGTCGAAAACAGCTGAAACTCTCTACACAGCATAAATACATCAATAACGTATCAGAAAATGTAATAAAACACATTAGCTAATTCTGATCAAAGGTGGATTTAAAAAATTAATCACTCAAAACTTCTTTATTAAGACAATAATCATGTAGCTCATAGAAATAAAATTGAGTTTTTTGACACATACTTGTATATTCCAGTGGATAGTCCTAGTGTAATCCCTGAACTAAATTTATTTCCAAATACAAAGAATGAGTAATACAACTCCTCTCTTCTTATCCCACTATGCAATGATGCATAATCAACTACATCAGGAATCATTGACCTATTCACAAATATTAATCAATTAATAGTGAATCTGGTAAATGTTGCAATTACCATGGTAACATGTAGATTGCTGAAGCGCCAGAACCTTGAATGAATCCAACAATCCAAATAAGGTGAGGATAATAATCAATGAATAGGAATGAAAGGTAAGACGGCAACAGAAACTATAAATGAAATTAATAATGTTTGCTTTATGTGCATTGATAAAATAACTCACCCATGCTGCTACGTGAAATGCAGTCTTTTTTCCAAATTTTTGTAAAGTCAATTGCCACAAAGGCAACACAATGATGTTTACTACCTAAAGCATTGTCAATACAACAACTATAGTCATTAACCAATCATGTTACCTACCATTAAATAGAATACAAAATATGGTAACTCATTTCCAAGGTCTAAATTGTATTGGATATAAAATGCAAGATTTCCCTGTCCGAACTGTAATTAAGATTGGAACCCGTTAATCATTAAATATCCTTTTCATTACCTGTACTGCAAGCCAAGAGAATAACTCAATACAAAATAGTTCTCTGTATGGTTTGAAACACCAGGTCTCTTTCATTGCTTCTCTTAATGATATCTTTGTCTTCTTATCAGTCATCTCTACACAAATTATAACATCAATTGAATCACTTCTTACCTTTTTGTTCTTTGACAGTAAAGAAAGTAGTCAGTATCATTATTACAATCAGAACACTCATGAATAATGCATGATACCTGAATGCTTTCACCTGCATAAAAAGGAGAAGGGAAACTATAGTATAAACATTTGTAATATTGTACCAAATTACTATCCTTTGTTTTAGTGCCAGTACAGTCTTCACTAGATTCATGTGCAAATATTGCATACGATATAGTGTAGACTGTTACACCCAGCAAGGTAGCAATTGTCTCAAATGCAACTCCTATTGAGATAAATACAGATAGGACGAGGGTTAAAGTAAAAAACGAAGAGATGAGTGGAAATAGGAGGTGTACAGCTTACTATAAAATGTAACCGAGTCTATTTCTTTTTGAGAGTAAGACATGTGCATTGTTAGTGCAGTATATGGTACATGAACACACTATGAAAGAGAGAGAGAATGAGAAAAAAGAGTGGACATGTAGAGAGTGACAGTAAACTAATTGGTTCCACTTACAGTCAGCATTGTCTGGAACAGTAAATACATGATAAGGTAATAAATGAATGTCAATGCACTTGAGCTAAAATTGGGAACGAACCACAAACCAAAGTAGACCAATGCTGCAGGGACTGCTGAAATCAACAACCTTAAGAATAGACACAAGTATAAGAATGTCATTATGTGTATGTGTTTATGTACTGTCACAAAAACTGGTCAATAATTATGGTTCCAAGAGCAATTTCTGGTCAGTATAACAATCTATAGTTCACAAGAGGGACAATGTGCCTGTTAATTTTGTCATTTTAAAGTCACTTGATCTTCGTATTTACTCAACTACATTCAAGAGTATTACTTTCATGCAAGCTGCTTTCATTGATTGAGTTAAACAAAAGTCGGTAAACACATATAGCTAACAGCAAATTGTATAAAACTCTGCACAATACATGTATTTCTCATCATGGCAAAAAACATAATAGTAGCCAGCATTATACTTTTAATGAGTCAGGCTGTGGTCCAACTTGGCAGCCGTACATACCACACTTTTATTGCAATGTGTAGTCCTGTGACCAGTTTAGGGACAAAATTTTAGTACTCTTATGTATATGCTGTAGTTGGTGACTTTTTGAGAGCATATTGTGTGTTTTTATTTAATCTCCATTTTTTTAGTATCCAGCTAAATTTTGAAAAATTTCATTAGCTATAGGTGCTAAAATGAAAGGTCAAATTTTTATAGAGCAGTAATGACCAAATTTGACCTATGGACACTTATTGTGTCAAAAGTGCCCCCCATAGTCTTGCAAGCCAGGCCCTCCCTGCCTACGGTCCACCCAAATGACCGTAGACTACCCCCCACCCAAATGACCGTAGACTACCCCCCACCCAAATGACTGTAGACTACCCCCCACCCAAATGACCGTAGACTACCCCCCCATGCAGTGATAGGAGTATGAGAGTACCATGGTCTAAATTGTCCGAATCTTGTCTTAGTCCTAGAACAGAAATAGCCACATAAAGGATCAGATATGGCATCCCAAACTCTTCCCAGCAATATTATTACCAACACATAGGTAGCATCCATCTAATGAAAAAACAAAGAGAGAAGGAGAGGGGGTGACAGAGAGAGGTGAATCAACATAAATCACTTAATTTAGGATCTGTCTAAACTAACCAGAGCTGCTTCAAGTAGAAAATAGGTGAAGTAAAAGCCAATCACAGTATTGCACATTGCATATGGCATAGAGCCCATAGCATAGCCTAGTTTCCTCCACAGTGGAAGCCGCTTCTCATCCTTTACTTTGGTTGCTAAGTCATCTGGCATTAAATCTAGTGACTGAGTCAAGGGAAATACATAACGTCAAGTGAGCCTGCATACTTCTCTATCCCTTTTCTGAGAGAAATGGTTCTTGTCAGAGATCTTAAAATAGTTAGACATCTCTCTGATCCGGTGATCTCTGCAGTCTTCAAGGGTTGCCAATTGGAAGCTGGACGAAAGTCTAGATCTACTATCTCTGATCTAAACAATGGGGTCAGCTTCTTTTAGCAAAAACTGAGAAATGAGAATAGGACTAGACTTTACTAGTACTTTTTTTGCTCCACCCAGAACTTAGCTCTAGACAATTTTACTCTGTTAAATTTTTGATGCAGCTCAAACACAAATTAATTACTAAAAAAAATCAGCAGAAAACTATTAGCAGCATAGGAAAAAGTATATAGTTAGTCTTCACAACTCTTCTTGCAAAAAAAGAACGAAACAACAGACATAACAGTAAACACAATGCAAGCAATGATGAGGGTTATCAGTCCTGCAATCAGATCAACAGATGAGAACGGGTATTCAGTATATGGTTCAGAAGTTATTTCTGAAGTCTTTTGAAGCATGTAGCCCAACGACCATCCAGGAGTGAGACTGTTAAGCTACATGTATGAAGGGAAGAAAGAGATACATGAAGTATAATGCTGTTATTATTATAATAATTATCATACAGTAGATAAAATATCAGACTAACTTCCATCACAATTCTGATAGACCAGTCATTGTTAGCAGCATCAAAACCAAGCCCACCTTCAAGGAAATGTAGAATAAGGACTGCATCAACACACCTGTAGACCCTGTATTGATCACTTCCATATCTTTGAGTCAGCTACATTATTACAAGGAATGAAATGAAAATTTGTACACAGATGCATAATACAGTATACAGTGTAGCCTCTATACACTAGACACTTTAATACAAGAAATTTTCTGTTATAAAGAAGTGTCTTTTATTTATTTTATACTGTAAAGAATGCAATTGGTAGGTGTGGCTATACTGTACATGTACAGTACATGTATATATTTCTTACTTCACTCCATGTCAGTGAGCACCTTTCCGAAACATTTGCTGAGAAAGATCCCAGTAGAGTTGAGTTTAGAAAAAAAGTGTTGTACGCTAACCCGGTATAATAGAAATTTGAAAAACCCTAAAATAAATAATAATTGATAAAAAAATCTACAACTCCATGCATATACATGTACATGCATTTCCATCTTTTCTCTCTCTCTTACATAAAATGATCCAGTAGGTCTAGGTACCACATGATTAATAGTCTCTCCATTACTGATATTAACATTGAAGTCCATTGCCACTCCAATCAATGCCTGGCATCTTTTGGGGTCACTAGTCCCAGTAATATTATATATCTCAGGTGTACTAGTAGGATCAGCAGGACGCAATCCAGTACTACAATAATGATTACCAAAGATAAACGATGACGGCCAATTAGCTGTATATCCAGTGGGAAAACAAGGGAAATCTACTGATTGACTGTAACTAGCATTCTATGCAGAAAAAGAATGAATAATAGTGAGTATAGGCAGGTATACAATACAACACTATAGGCCAGCGTATTATCAATTTTTAATCAGCATGGGTGATTTGACCTTTTAACGCTTGCTTTATGCTAAAGTTGAACTAAATTCAACTCTGGCATCAATGTAACGTCAAGACTAGCATAATTATAATTGAAAAAATCCGCCTTAACAAATACTACTATAACATTAATATTTTATTACCATCACAGCATAAGCTACTATTCTTCTAAATCCCTCAAAGGTACCATAGCATAGATAACTCCTGCCGTACACATCATACGAATTACCAAAGAGAGACACAGTTTGCATGTGATCTGATGGGCTAGAGGTTGAAGGGATGAATGCAACTTCAAGGGAGTCACCATCTCCTCCACCCATATCAAGGGCTCCAACTGTATTACCTGATGTAGCTGGTCCTGAAGGCTATAAAATATATAAATTAATAACATTGCATGATGACATTAGAGTGTATTATAAATGTGCATAATTGACAAGGAGGTAAGACTCTCCTATAGTAGATTTTGGCAAAATTTGGCCATTAACCCTGTACTATAGTACAGGGACATTGGCTTTATTTTTGAGCAACTTAAAAAATTAAAAAAAAAATCCAACTTTGATCGGAATGAGCTTAAACTTGCTATACAACATACGATTATGTACATGTATATGTACCAGTATTAGAAAAAATTATAAAAATGGAAAATTTTCTCCCAGTCAATTTTGAAAAATACCTTGTATAGTGCACGTACACATGTATATGATTATTTTTTATAAAATTTTGGAGCAACTTTAAAATCCTGTGGAAAAGCCTGGTATGCACAAAATGCAAGTTCAATCACAGTAAGGGAAATTAAATGCCAGTTCAAATCCACGCCCTCTCCTCTCCCTTATGTTCTCTCTCTTACATAAGATCTTGCTAAGGTTCCTACAATATAGTTTGTTGTTATCCATCTACCAACTGCCTCCTCCTGCCCAGTCAATATCTTTGCGTTTATTTGTGTCTCTGCCTGGTATCTAGTATTGATCTCATTTATTATACTATCAGCAAGTGACCTGTTTTCATGCCTATAAACACACACAAAAGAAAGTACACATACATATGTATGAGTCAATATATTAAACCATTAAACTTATTACATGTACCTTAATATTCTCATATTAGCACTTGCTCCTAGCCACATATTTACTTTATTGTCGGGAGGATTGTTTAAAAACCCTGGGACATTGTTTAAAACTTCATCAACACAACTTTGAAATGACTCAGCTGCTTCTGATGGAACAGTGTAGGTATTGATGGGATTACCTGATTATAGTAGTCATGATAACACCATCAAGGAATAAATAGATATCAATGAGGATGCACATTACAGATGCATCAATTAATTAGTATTATAATACCTGCTGACTTGCATACACTGTTCTGTGATACTACTCCAGTATCTTGGTATAAAGGGAGGTCCCACTGGTAGAGATATATGTCAGAATGAGAAGATCCAGCATCCATAACAACTGCATACTAAAGGATTGAGTTTCATGAATGATTATAGACAATGATTGATATCTGTAGTTGTATTTTAAAACTATACCTGTTCATTGTATTTGGTCGATTGAGAATACACAATAGGCAGGACAATTATATCAATCAAGCAAGCAATAGCAAAGCAAAGAAAGACCACAGCTAATATGCTGTAAACAATGACACTATTCCCAGAGCCCGCCATTACAGTTAAGAGGGTGAAACCAAGACTGACGAAAGAGGGCAATGGCTATCATTAAAAGAGGATAAAAGGGGGATAAAAGAAATTTAAGACTGCTCAAAGTATGAATAAAAGAAGATATCACACCACAATATTTATAACATAAAACATAGCCTTAGTGCAGTGTAAGCTTACACATAACGCCCCATTCTGTGATAAACTTTTGGAAGTGGATATTGGTCCGGCAATCCCAACCCTACGACCCCGGAGGCTAAGATGTACGAGAGGGTGCTCTAAAAACTAAACACTAAACCCCAATCCCAACCCTACGACCCCGGAGGCTAAGATGTACGAGAGGGTGCTCTAAAAACTAAACACTAAACCCCAATCCCAACCCTACGACCCCGGAGGCTAAGATGTACGAGAGAGTGTTTATTTAAAAAAAAAAAAAGTAAAAAAAGTGAAAAAAAAAAGAAAAAAAAATCAAACATTTCAGCAGAGTTTTAGTCAATAGTCCCGACAGGATTCGAACTGCTGACCCCATCCGTGCAATCCAGACCAGCCTCTCCACTACACCACCGCAACCCTGCTGCATCAACGTTGCAGATTGTCGTATTTATACTTGATATCTGTATATAAAATCGTGTATTAGTATACTGGGGCGAAGCCCCAGTATACTATATAGGGACTGCCGGACCAATAGCCGCGCAGTAGGCGTCCGGCTGCCGGACCAATATCCACTTCCTAAACTTTTTCCCAGGTCCAGTGATCCAGTCCAGTACACCTTTGACCTTCTTGGCGGACATTCCCGTAAGACTCCGTAAACTAGAGCTAGATTTCCATCGTTGGCTGGGGCTACATGTATTTCAAGAGTTCTCGCAGAAGCTATGTCCCTCAGAAAAAAGAGAGAGAAGTATGCAGACTCACTTAGATTTTATATTTTCTTGACTCAGTCATTAGATTTAATGCCTGATGACTTAGCAACTCAAGTAGAGCGATCTAATGAGAAGCTTCCACTGTGGAGGAAACTAGGCTATGCTGTGGGCTCTATGCCATATGCAATGTGCAATACTGTGATTGGCTTTTACTTCACCTATTTTCTGCTTGAAGCAGCTCTGGTTAGTTCAGAGCGGAATGTTGAGGGGCAGAGAAAATACCTTTCGAAAGTGGGGGCAGGGCTGACTGAGCATATACCGTATATATAGCTCCTAATTTTTGTCAGTCAAAAATTTTGTCAAAATCTTAATTTCTTGCTAAAATTATTTTTTGTCAATAAAATTTTCATCATTTTTGTTATTAATCCACATACTACCCACGTGGAACAAAAATTTCATCAGTTAAAAATTTTGTCAAGCAAAAGTACCTGATGAATTTGACGAAAATTTTGACCGACAAAAATTTGGAGCTATACGGTATACATGTAAGACACTATTTGGATATAAATGATATTAATAATTTTTCCTTAGATTTTGGGGGCTTCAGGCCTTCAGCCCCACCCTTGCTCCCTTGCCTACACCCTTTGATGGATTTATTTATATTTTGTCCCCACTAGGTGGATGCTACATATGCATTGGTAATAATATTGCTGGGTAGAGTTTGGGATGCCATATCTGATCCTTTATGTGGCTATCTCTGTTCTAGGACTAAGACAAGATTCGGACAATTCAGACCATGGTAAATGAACACATTCATGTACACATAATGACATTCTTATACTTGTGTCTATTTTTAAGGTTGTTGATTTCAGCAGTCCCTGCAGCATTGGTCTACTTTGGTTTGTGGTTCGTGCCCAATTTTAGCTCAAGTGTATTGACGTTCATTTACTACCTTATCATGTATTTACTGTTCCAGACAATGCTGACTGTAAGTGGAACCAATTAGTTTACTGTCACTCTCTACATGTCCACTCTTTTTTCTCATTCTCTCTCTCTTTCATAGTGTGTTCATGTACCATATACTGCACTAACAATGCACATGTCTTACTCTCAGAAAGAAATAGACTCGGTTACATTTTATAGTAAGCTGTACACCTCCTCCTATTTTCCCTCATCCTGACTGTATTTATCTCAATAGGAGTTGCATTTGAGACAATTGCTACCTTGCTGGGTGTAACAGTTTACACTATATCGTATGCAATATTTGCACGTGACTCTAGTGAAGACTGTACTGGCACTAAAACAAAGGACAGTGATTTGGTACAATGTTGCTATTACTAATCTTTGTACTTTAGCTTCGCTTCTCCTTTTTATGCAGGTGAAAGCATTCAGGTATCATGCATTATTCATGAGTGTTCTGATTGTTATAATGTTATTCACTACTTTCTTTACTGTCAAAGAACAAAAAGGTAAAAAGTGATTTAATTGATGTTATAATTTGTGTAGAGATGACTGATAAGAAGACAAAGATATCATTGAGAGAAGCAATGAAAGAGACCTGGTGTTTCAAACCATACAGAGAACTATTTTGTATTGAGCTATTCTCTTGGCTCGCAGTGCAGGTAATGAAAAGGATATTTAATGATTAACGGGTTCCAATCTTAATTACAGTTCGGACAGGGAAATCTTGCATTTTATATCCAATACAATTTAGACCTTGGAAATGAGTTACCATATTTTGTATTCTATTTAATGGTAAGTAAAATGATTGGTTAATGACTATAGTTGTTGTATTGACAATGCTTTAGGTAGTAAACATCATTGTGTTGCCTTTGTGGCAATTGACTTTACGAAAATTTGGAAAAAAGACGACATTTCACATAGCAGCATGGGTGAGTTATTTTATCAATGCACATAAAGCAAACGTTATTAATTTCATTTATAGTTTCTGTTGCCGTCTTACCTTTCATTCCTATTCATTGATTATTATCCTCACCTTATTTGGATTGTTGGATTCATTCATGGTTCCGGCGCTTCAGCAATCTACATGTTACCATGGTAATTGCAAGTTTTACCAGATTCATTTTTAATTGATTAATATTTGTGAATAGGTCAATGATTCCTGATGTAGTTGATTATGCATCATTGCATAGTGGGATAAGAAGAGAGGAGTTGTATTACTCATTTTTTGTATTTGGAAATAAATTTAGTTCAGGGATAACATTAGGACTCTCCACTGGAATATACAAGTATGTTTGGAAACACTTACATATAACTTTTATTTCTATAAGCTACTCTACATTGCAACGGTTGATGATTAATATTTTAATAGAGAAGATTTGAGCAATTTAATCCTTATTAAATCCAGTTTTGATCAGAATCAGCTAATGTTTTAATACAAGTTTTATTACATTTGTGACACGTCCTTGTGCTACATATATATATACTTTCAATTTATAGCCTTTTTTTGAAATGACCCAAATTTTGAAAGAAAGGCAAAGACATGGTTTCTTCTAAATATTGGCTCCAAAATCATTCGAAATTTTCATTACATTTTCTGATACATATTGATGTCCTTATGCTGTTTAGAAAGTTTGAGCTGATTCCGACTTCAATTTTTTGAGTTATGTGCCTACATGTATTATTATTATTAATAGTTTTACAGTTATTTCTCTATCACAGGTTAGCTAATTATAATCAATTGTCTTGTGAGCAGCCTTGGACTGCAACTTTATTATTCAAACTACTGGTCTCCACTCCTACTGTACTATTCATTGTGGTAACATTAGTGTTTTTATGGAGGTATCCTATCACAGAGAAGAAAAGAATTGAAATTAAAAGAAAGCTACTCAGCTTGAGGTATGAATGACTCTTCTGTTTTTGTATTTTTTGTCCTTTTTAATCATTATAACTGTATACAAATGTAGTAAAGCCTCTATTATAACAAGCATTCAGGTACCATATAGTGGGAAAATTTGGACAGAATTAAATAGGGTGAATTGCTAAATTTTGGTGATTGGCAGATTTTTATTTGGCGAATTTGTGACGATGTGCCATTGAGCATGTGCGTAATGGCTCAAAATGGCAGATTTTTATTTTGGTGAATGGCTATCAAAATGCCAAATTTACAAAATTTATTTCCCTTCAAAAATCCCTCTCAGACAGTACATTATACTGTGCAAAGGTGTTTTTTATGTGGAGGCTATTTATACATTAATGATTGTAATTAGTACACTAGGTACTGTCCGTTATAATAGTGGTGATTACATACATGTATAGAGTCTTTCTTAACAGAGGCTATACTGCATATATTATGATCATTATAAATTTCTAATTATAGAAAAGCAATTACAGGTGAATCAGAGAAAGATTATGTTGGACCAGATAGTTCTGGACTCAGTGATCCTGAGGATGAAAGGAAAGAAGTAGAAACTAGTGGAGAGGAATTATTAACTTCAGCTGATGAAACTGAAAACTCATTCATTCATGATAATAGCTAACTGTATGTACCATAATACTCCTTTGATGTGAATTTTTATTTTTTATAATTATCGTGTCTTATTTTAAAGTTAAGCCTGCAATTGGTTGACTAAAATTTTAAAGGATCGAGTTAAATTTTAATTTTGCCCTAAGTTTCAAAAAGTTCAATAGTTTTCACTGCTTCAATAATAATAAATTTAGCAGAAATGATAATAATAATATCAGATACAAAATAAATAATAAATTAGTACTATGTTAATCATCAACAAGTCCTGCATCTTTTACCATTCCATAAAAAATTCCACGTTGCTCAATTAGGTTACCTGGAGTGTCAAACTCCCTTATGCGACCTGAATCCAGTACCATTATCCTAAAACCAAGAAAAAAAATAATCATGACCTTCTCTCCCTCTCCTACTTGTCATAATCCATTATAGTGTTGAGTCTGTGAGCTATAGTTAATACAGTACAGTCAGAGAACTCTTTCCGTATGGTTTTCTGTATTAATTCATCAGTTTCTACATCAACTGCAGCTGTAGCTTCGTCAAGAACTAGGATTTTTGTCTTGCGTAACAAAGCACGTGCCAGACAGACTAACTGACGCTGACCCACACTAAAAGGAGAATAATTTTTTAAAAGCCAATAATTAAAAAAAATTTATTTTCAAACAGCTTTCATTGTGTAAGTTTTAGAGTAAAGTTTTTCATAAAAGCCAGAGTTGAAGAAGAGTTAAATAATACACTTCACTCTTACATTCTTTCAATGTGATAATTTTCTCAAAATACATACTGTGATGGATTAAAAACTATTGATTATTATTCTTTATTATATAGGTATGTGTTACTACTTATTGGTTGTATATGTGTATCATTATCATTTGAATTATTAGTTGTATGTGTATTATTGATTATTAGTGGTGTATGTATTGCGTATTAATAATGTATTGTGGTTTGACCTTAGACTAATTTGTGCAACTGTGGTTTATGTGAGGGATGACAGCTCAGGCTTGCCCAGGTTGCCATCTAACTAGGAACTCTCTATGTCATGTGTTTGTCATGTGTGTGTCATATGTATAACTAGTTTTAACTTGTTTGTGTCACATGATTTTGAAAATGATATAAAAGTGCCCGACCATTTCTGGTGGGTTGGCTGGTTTTATGACCTTAAAATATTCTTGTAGTTGGCGTAAGCCAGGGGGGCACGGGTGGATCTCTTACACATACTGAATGAGTCTTATAACAATATTAACCTATTTACTAGAGCTGCCCAATTGTACTGCTCCTCTTGCTCTCTTTCTTTCTCCCTTGTTTTTTTTATATTTCTCAATATCTCTCCCTTTACCTTAAATTCTCTCCTCCTTCAGTAATGGTAGATTCTCCTCCTGTCAGCGATTCAAAAAATCCACTCAAGTGAGCTGTCTTTAATGCTCTCCACAACTCATCATCAGTGTGAATGTCAAATGGATCGAGATTCATCCTAAGGGTTCCTGAAAACAATACAGGGTCCTGTGCACAAGGAAATAAACTTTGAAAGAGACACTGCAAAACTTAACCATCTAAGAGGTACATGTACTTTTATGAGTACTATTTCTTGTCAAATTTGCAAATTGAAAACATGAATTACATGTACATATACAATGTACATGTACATATATATTGTTAAAAATAATTTACTATTCACACTTACAGACATATACATGTACATGTACATGTAATAATACCCACAAAATCTAGTGAGAGTTGCAATTATACCATAAATAAAAGGTACTACATTAGGGTTTCCCACAAAGCATGCTAATTAAGTGTTAGCTAAACGGCATGCTTCATGTGCTGACAAGCACTAAAATAGGCATGTACATGGCATTTAGTCTCACATAGCCAGACTCCTTCCCTTTTGAATGGGTCTGGCTAAGCGAAACTACATGGCATTTGGAGCAACTTAAAAAATCCAAAAATCCAAATTTCATCAGAATCAGCTCAAATTTCTACATTAAGTAAAAACAAGTATATGTATCAGAAAAATTATAAAAAATTAAGAATTCTCTCCTAGCCATTTTCAACAAAATTTGGCTTAAGATCAAAGGATATCTTGGGCCAGTTGGCCTAATTTTTTGAGCAACTTTAAAAGTTTATAAAAAATCTAAACTTGACCAAAATCAACTCAAATTTGAAACATAACACAAAACATGTACGTATCAGAAAAATTATAAAAATCAAGAATTCTTTCCTAGTAATTTTTGACAAAATTAGGCCCATGACCAAATGGCCAAATTTTTGAGCAACTTAAAATAGTCATAATAATCTAATTTCAGTTGCAATCAGTTCAAAATTTTTAGAACATGTACATGTACATGTATACATAAAAAATTAATACAATGGAAAATTCTCTCCCTGTGATTTTTGTCAAAATAGTGAAAATACCCTGTACACGTATATGTACAGGCAATTTTTGAGCAACTTGACAAATCCACTGACAAGAAGCTGCGTGAGCACTATACCAAAATCCTGTGGGAAACCCTGATACGCATGCAAAAATTCTAGTAATACCAAAAACTTTACTTGTGGTATGATGGTAAGGTTTGATCTCAGATCATTGAGTCCGTAAGTACTGATATCAACACCATCAATCAATATACGTCCTTGAGCTGATTCAATGATACGGAATAATGCTGCAGTTAGTGATGACTTCCCTGCTCCTGTACGACCTACTATACCAACCTACAATACAGTACAGAGAGGAGAGAGGGTCAAGAAAACATAAAAAGTCTTTAAAAATTAAGTTCTATAATTTTTTATTGTTCAAAATGTCTGCTAATTTTGCAAATTTTAAAAACACAAAAATTTAATTCTTAAAGATAAGGATCAAGCCATCAAGCGAGATTTACAGGCCATCAGCAAAAATTAGTGGATTATACTGACCTTTTGGCCTCCAGGAATATCACACGAGATATTTTTTAGGACAAGGTCCAGTCCTGGACGATAGCGTGTAGAATAATGATCAAACTGGACTCTTCCTTCAGTTGGCCAACCAGGAGGAACACGACGACCAGGTATTACACTAGGAGCCTAAATATGAGGAGAAAAAGAGAGTAAGATGAAGAAAAGAAAAGAAATTATTACTACACAATATTTAGGGTTAGGCAAATAGTGTTTTATTTTCTGCTAAATAATGCTAATATATTCCAAATTTCCCCAAATACACAAGTACATTCACTTCAAATATTCCAGCATAATAACTTGCCCCAATATGCTCTAACATATTTTGTCTAGCCATAATTTATACTCGTACTTCAGTTGGTGTTTCTGAATATTCTTTTGTTCTCTCAACTGCTACAATGTTAGTTTCGAGCTCACTAGTCATCCTTACCATCCAGTTAAGCTCTTGAGTAACCTGAAAGTAATAATTCATGGTATATCAGTACATGTACATGTACGTAGTACATATAATGTAAATACATGTATAGACACAATATACAAGTAATCAAATCCTAGTTATGTATTCCCATTAAATGATATACATGTACATGTACACATGTACTATAATCACATTTGCAATATTACACTCCGAACCATTGAATAATAAATACATGTAAGTACAATACTTGCAAAACTCTCAAATCTCATGCATCAGTGACTTACTTGTAATGCGTATGATATAGAGAGGCCAGCAATGCCAGGACTAATGTAGCCAAAGACTTGATCATAATTACGCTGAAGAACAGCAAACAATGAAGCTGCCAGTATGATAAAATTACCAAGAAACTCTACCCTGATTGCTAACCACCTTCAATTTGAAGATAAATAATAATAATAATAATAACAATGCCAAAACAAACATGTATAGTACATGCATGTACACATTTATTAAACTTTGTAAAACTTCATCAAAATCCATTAATTGTCTTGCATTTTTCAGTAGCATTCTCTTATAAAGTCAGGGTTTCCCACAGGATTTTGGCATAGTACTCATGTACATGTATGTACATGTAGCTTCTGAAGTTGCTCAAATATGGTTAGGAGAGAATTTTCTATTTTTAATAATTTTTGATGAATTTACATTTTTTTGTGTAGCATAAAAATTTTGAGCAGATTTTGATCAAAACTGTATTTTTTATGAATTTTCTTAATTTGCTCTAAAAGCCAGTGAGCTTTTAAGCTTGAAGCATACTGTATGCTTTGTGGGAAACCCTGCATAGAATGCAGAAGCACATAACATCCTGTAGAATCTACACTAACCTATCAGCACAGACGCTGGGATAATAGGCAATTTGATTGTAGTCCACTTTAGCTTCTGATTGTGCCAGGAACTCATCAACTTTTAAATAAGCTCTTATACTTGAGGAGCCATTGATGGTCTCTTGGAAGTGTGAGTATATTGGAGAGCGAGATGATGACTCTAACCTTCTTAGCTGCCTTGAGGTTGCGACATAGTAACGCTTTAGTAAGAAAATAATAATAATCTGACTATTGTACACATATAGCTGGGAATTTTCTAATTTCGTGATTTTTAGATTAATTTGCAAATTACATGTAAAATTGGCTAAATTGACGCCTCAAAATTAAATCTACAAAATGATTTTTGGGTGGATCCACATGAGCTTAATCCTTTTAAAGTTTCCAGCTATACAAATGTGAACATAGTATGTGTAAGTATGTACATGTACTGTGTATGTACAGGCACACGTAATATACATGTGTATGTACATGTATGTTAGACCAGATTTTGCCTAGTGACATTAAAAATTATAGTACATGTACATGTATATTACCTGAATGACTATATAGACAACTAGTAGAGGAATGACAGCTAACATAAACCATGGAGAAGCAATGGAGACGACTACAATTGTACTTAATACTGTGAATAATGTAATTAGGAAACTCCTCAGGGATCTTGGGATCTCTTCATCGATCATATATATGTCCTATACATGTGCATTTAAAATTAATTACTTCCTGGCACATTTAAATTAACATTAAATCATTGTCATTTAACTCCACATGCTATAGAATGTGGAACCATGCACATTACCATCTGTATACATGTAGGAGGCTTCTTATGTTTGGCCAAAATTTGTGCTTTTCATTCTTTAAGCACCAAAAAACAAAAATTAAACCAACAAAATTACAGAAACACATAAATTACATGCTACATGTACAAGTACATGTGGTAGTACGTTGTAAATTTTATCAAACAAACACCTCGACAAAATTTAATGAAATTTTGACCACTAAAATTTGGAGCTACCTGTATAGGTACATATACCTGTACATGAACAATCTACATGTACATACTAACAATTATTTTTATAATGTACAATGTACCTTTGAAAAACGGTTCAAGATCCTACCAAGAGGTGTAGTATCAAAGAAAGACATTGGAGATCGGAGTATATTTGATAACATTCCATTGTGAAGCCTCATAGAAGCATTAAGTGCTCCAAAGTATAATGAAAAGGCACCAAATAGAACCATGATACCCTGGAGTGCACCAAGAGCAGAATATACACCTAAATTCAGTGCACTAAAGAGAAATGATAAAAGTATAAAAATGTGTATTGATTGCTGCAAGAGTAGATAAGGGACTCTCTTATCTACGCTTATTTTAAAATACGCTTGTTTTAAAAATGTTCAATACTCAAAAATTTCTTATCACAATCAGCTCAAACTTTCTAGACATCAATACTGGAGGTTATTTCATACAGTAAGGAATTCTAATTGGTAGATACATGTACACTAGGTAGTGTGCTTTCATTAAATGGAGGTGCATGTCCACTATACAAAATGTCTGTCAAAAGAGGCTATACTGTAATTGTTAAAGCAATCTTCATTCGGTCAAGTTGAGTACATGTACATGTAGCATTAAAAATGGAAAGAGTGAATCACACTACATTGCATATCCTTACAGGTTGGACTTGTTAGTATGTTCCTCTCCATTACTCCAGTGAGCTAGCCACAGGTTCTGACCCACAGCTGCTCCATCAGTTAACATGTTAAAAAATAAAGTAATGAAGCTTATCCATAGAGAACAAGCTTTAGCATAGTCAAAAAACACAGAGAATTTTACCTAATGGATAAAAAGTAAAAAGAGAGAGGAGGGGAGGGGAAAATAATGTACACATGTCTTGCTGGCAATTCCTGTGGCCCAAAATATTTGAGAAAAAGTCAGTTTTGTAGGTTTTATTCTTGTGAATGCACCTTCGCTTGTCATGGCTCAACAGAGGAGTAACTTTTTACAAGATTAAAATAAAATTGGCAATATTAGTGGGCCACAAAAATTCATAACTACATATACATGTACGCAAGTTAAAATCTAAAAACTAAACTTACATTTCCAGTCTCAACTTTCTCTTCTCCAATCAGTTTTGATCTCTCATTGGGTTCCCCTTTGCTCATTGAAGGACTTCTTGAGCTTCTGAAGCTGCTTTGTCTTGAACTTCCTCTCTTTGAAGGAATAAAACTTCTCTCTTCATCTGTATGTGATAAAACCAATGTCATAGGATACATTTACATGTATACAAACTATACATGTATGTACATGTACTTTGTAAAAAAGAGCATCAGTGCAATAATACTCCTACATGTACATGCATTACATGTACATCCTACATGTACCGTATTTCCTTAAATAAAAGCCCGGGCATCTATTTGCTAAAATGGTATTTGGATCTCGAAAAAATATACCGTACACGTCTTAATTTTCGAGGTGTATTAAATTTTGTTATTTTCGTGCTCACCTTAAATCCACGAAATTTAAACCACCTCTAATGCCATTCTATTGTATGTAGACTATTGCCAGAACACGAAAATTAGCTCACACGAATATTAACTTTTGAGCAAATTTCATTAAAAACACGAAATTTTGAACCCTCGAAAATTTGAACGTATACGGTATAAAAAATAAAAAAAACTTCAGCCCAGAGCAGGATTCGAACCCATAACCTCATGCTTTTGAGATTCTGGAATGTCAGGCATTATCCACAAGACTACTGAGTCACTCCTAGGCTAGAGTTGCATATTTATAGTTTAATTCTATTGCTACTTAGGCGTTTATTCGAATGCGGCTTCTATTTAAGGATTTACGGTACATGCATTTCCTAAGATTGTTTTTGCCATCTTGCATGTATGGATCACTTTCGTTTCTTCTCACAAAGACTTACATGTACAAGAACAACAGATATTCTCTCTACCTCATATTATAATGCTTCTAAAGAAGTTCTTAGATGGTATAGTTGCATTTGTTATCTTGCTGTTCAAAAGCTCAAAACTTTGTCCCATTTGTATGCACACACCACATGTATGTCATGCAATAGTCTCGCCCCGCCCCTTCGCTACCTACAGAGGAAGGGTCTGGAGACACTGCTAGTCTAAACTTGTGTTGGAAAAAAATGACATCACAATGCCCACGTGTTTTCAGCGCGTGATAATCATGTGAAGGTTGCCAGGCAACGCTTTACTGACCACGTGTACAGGCGTGCTTCTTGCTGTATTTCAGTCTCCTTTCTGTCAGGCTACTTTCTGTCTTGAAAAGTCATCATGGACTGCCTCTGTTGTGGAAGTGTTGTCCTTCCTGGTAGTAGGACATTTTTAAGAAAGAAGTATGACGAAAGAAAAGAAATAATGACTGCTCTGGAGACCAAATATGCCATATCTCACAGTGGCCTTGAAGACCTAGAAAAAATGTTGATAAATGGAGTTGTCTGCAGAGGAAAGTGTTCAGGATTGCTGGCTAAATATGTGACATTGAAGAAAGATTATTTTTTCACTGAAAGGAAAATTATTGACATTTTTGGAGATCTTGTGGTTAAAAATGGATTTGGATCAGTTATTGGTGATGGTATTGCAGATGATGCCACTCATAGTTTTGTTACTAGTCATGGCACTCCTAGTAGGAGTACCACTGCATCTCCCGCTCGCATTGCACGGAAGCAGTTGCAATACACACCTAAAGAACAAAGTACCAAGACTGTAGGAGTGAGTTAGATAACAGATATACAAATTTATATGCATGCATTTATTTCTGAAGGTATTGACTATTCATAAAGGCAAGCGTCGATTTTCTTGTTTGCCGCCTTCTCTGAGAGGTGTTGGCCAATCTGTTGGAAGAAAGAGTAGAATAGCTATCGTTAATAAAGTACTGAAAGATAATAGAATGAAGGCAATGACAATCAGGAAAGTTGGTCAGTTGATACGAAAGGATCTTAAACTATTATGTAAACAGAATTCATCCTTTTGTGATAAAAGAATAAGTGAAATTGAGCAATTTGATTGGGCTAGAGTTACTTCATGTGTGAGGAATACCGCTCCACTCCTTTTTACTATTCTTGACGAAGCACTGAATGAATCTGGATTAGAGAAAGAGATAGCTATAGATATGTGCACTTCTATAATGTTGAAGACTCATAGTGAGAGGGCAAGTTTAGTACAACGTTTGATTTCAGTATTGCTTTTTAGCAGTCATGCCCCTAAGCAGGTTTGTGCTAGATGGTTTAACCGTTAAGTGTTTCGACCATTTGTTATCTTTTTGTCTCGTCTAGTTGTTTCAACGATTACACAAGATCGGAATTTGTGTGTCTCACAAAAGCACTATTCGGTTAATAGATGAAATGTCTGAAGATTTTGATGGTCCTGTAAAGGAATGGCGTAGCAAAGTATCAGATTACCTATGGCCTGAGAGGTAAATGAATTAGACTGTCCTATATTTATGACTAATCAACATGAATGTATATTACATTGTAGTGTAGTGAACAGTTTTGACACTAATATTGCCAGCAATGATGAAGCAGTGCCTGAGGATACTGAGGTACATGTACATGCATCTAATATCTCCATCACCCCTGTAGATGTTGATGACACCTCACGACCATCCCTCTCTCAACAACCTTTCGAAAGCACATCTGTGCCACTGTCACCAGTATTAAGCACAACTAACAATTCTCTGAATACTGTTTCGTGTTACTCTGAAGAGCCACAGACATCCAATATTACCATCACTGCTGACCTATCTATTGATTTTGAAGGCCAACCTGTACTACTGTCTTCACCTCATTGCTCTGATAACTCCTCTTCAACTGCTTCTGTTGCTCACGCTTCCTCTTATACTATATCCCCACCAAGCTACTCTGAAAAATCATCTTCAGACACCTGTACCTCAGAAGAGAACATGGAATGTAATACTCCTCGGCCATGTCACCGCTCTTTCAAACTTGTTGGAGACAATTTGGATAAATATGTCAAGCCGCGCCATGAAACCATGGAAAGGCATTCATCTTCACTACATTACTTTCATTCTTTTGCCGTCTTAGATCGATGCGATACATCACATCTTGCTGACAATCCCTCTCTTTGTGATGCTAGTACTACATGTACATCCCTCTCCAAATCTATTCTGCCTACTGAAAGTGATCGTAGCAGCCTGCTGGATAACTATGCTATACTGTTTGCTCGAGTAATACAGAGACATATACCATTTTTCAAGAAAAATTGCCCTAAAGTCGTTCGACATATTGACCATTCCTATACATCTGAAATGTCAACAAAATCAGTTGTGGTTAGTTAGATTGTTTATAGCATTGTTTAAATTCTTTTAACAGGTTCCTTTAGGAGTATTATTTAAAAATGAAGTCTCACATGAAGACATGATTGCCATAATGACACATCTACAGCAATATGTTCCATCACATACCACAGAAGACCAACTGCTCAATCCATTGACAAATGAACATTTCAAAGTTAGTGTATGATTTATAACTATTCAAATGATTCATGTACATGCATCTTTAGGTGCACATTGATGAGTTCCATCACATACTCTTTGGTGGAGACCAGTTAACAGTTGAAAGAGCCACAGGAGGAAAAAAGGAGAGAAGTAATGAATTAAGAGGCATGGAAAGGCTAGAAGGATTAATTCCAGTACAAGAAGACTGGCATGCAAAGGTTACATTGTTGAAGGTATAATACAGTATTTCTGACAATTACAATACATAATGGACATAAAAAATTATTGTAGGCCATATGGAAGGTGTTATATAAAACATCATCAGGATCAGACACTGGTACTCTTTATCAGCTAAGAAATTTCCTAATGCGGCGGACTGTAACTAGTGAGATTAAAAGTGATCCAACTGCATGTGAGGAGTTCTTCCTGCTAATTTTGGAGGCTCACATACTGAGTATAGTCATGAAAGAGTTTCAGCTCGATTCACTCGATGGTGTGCCCAAATCTCCTATTTTTCAGGAGCAATTTCTGTCTGATGACCGTAATCATAGGCTAAATATACTAATGTCTTCTGTTAGATCTATTGTAGCTGAATATACCTATGACCTAACAATTGGAAAAGATGTGAAGGAGAAAGACTGTGTTCTAGCGTATGGAAAAGAGTTGCTGACTCTGGGAATGTTGTACTTAGAATTCATTGATTCAATTAAGGAGGGAGACGGATTGAGGATTTTGAGGTGCTGGAGATATATGCTATTGGTTTTTAAAGCTACAAACAAGAGGAAATATGCTATTCAAGCAGCCACTCTACTTTTCCAGTATGAATTTATTCTTACTGAACGCATGAGGCATCAGCTGATATGGAACCGAACGATAAATACATGTGGTGGAATTGGAAGGAATATTCCTATGGATTTTCATTTAGAACATTTGAACAAATATCTCAAATCAGCCATTGGCCACCTCTCATCCAATGTCAGTCAAAATACTATTGATAGACTTGGTAAGTCTCTTGGCAAGTTGGAACATGTGAAATACAATTTTGACCGTAACACTGGATTGAAACGAGATTCGGGCTATCAAACAAAGCCGTCTCTTAGTAAGGACCTGAAACAAGTCTTAGAGGAGCTAAATAAAGTTGGTATTTTTGAAACAGTTGACAAAAGAAGACACAGGAGTTTTCCACGCTTTAAGGGTAACACTGCAGGCACTGTTGTTGAGAATGAGCTGGAGCCATGGCTAGCAAAGTTACTTACTAAGATAACACAATTTAAATAAATTATTTCTATTTTCAAATTAAGTTGATCTACATGTATTGTTAATTATAAGTACAATGATATCTGAATTTAATTTAAAATTTACAAAAACTACATTCACATACAATTGCACACAAATCACAACATAAACAACCAATGGGTTTTTGTAAAGGTGAATATGATTGAAATGATTGGAAAAGTGACTCTCGACGACACATAGATCTATTTGTACAATAGTTTTTCATACAGTCTTCCATAAATGTAACGCCAATGTCACGTTTCGAATAATAAAGATCAGCAAAGGCTCTATCACCATCTCTACCTGCTCTGCCTGTTTCTTGAATGTAGCAGTCGACATCAGATGGAGCACCCCAATGAATTATTCTTCTCACACCTGCACAGTCTATCCCCATGCCAAATGCTACTGTAGCGATAACAATACGCATATGCCCCCTAGGATTTGAAAATGATGCTAGGATGGATTGTTTCAAACTTGGTGTATTAACAGCTGTAAACATTTCTACCATCCGGAAAATAGAATAATCAGGTGCTCCAATGGGATTGGTAAACTCAACTCCTAAGGAAGAACGAAAAGTGAGATATAAATCACAACAGTCTTGATAAGTTCTGCAAAATATTATTGTCTTCTTGGTATTGTGTCGCAATTTGCGTAGCTCCTCAATTACAGGCTTGAAAGTATCCTCAATGGATTCCGTTTTTTCCATAACACTGTAGTACAGATTAGGCTTGTCCGGTGATCTAATAATCATGACAGGTTTAGTCATCCCAAGTGAACGAATTACTTCATTTCTAGTGAAGTTGGACGCAGTAGCCGTAAGGGCCATGAAATGAACACCAGATGGCAATAATCCACGTAAACCACCCAATTTACTATAATCTTTCCTAAAATCTTTACCCCTATAGATAAAGATATTAAAAAGTAGCAACATACAAGGCATATCCTTACCATTTTTTTACACAGTGAGCCTCATCCACAATAAAAGCCACCAATCTGTCATGCAATGATGAACTACGAAAAACTTCTGTCCATTCCTTATCAAAAAGAATTTCAGGAGGAGTAAAAACAATTTGAAATGTTCCACCTGATACTAGAGATTTGTTTTCTTCCTTGTCACCGTACCCACAAATAACAGCTGATATCCCCTTAGATTTCAATAATTGTACTTGATCAGACATGAGAGCATTTAGTGGGCTGACTACTAGAGCCACTGACCAAGAGGTTTTATTATAAAGTATATCAAAAAGGAGAGGAAGACAAAAGTAACAGAACGATTTACCAAAGCCTGTTGGAAGAGTTACAAATACATCGTTCCCTTCAACAAAGGAAACAACAGCGCGCTTCTGCTCCTCTTTGAGAGTCTCGTACCCAAACTGAGTTGCACAAATCAGCAAAGCAGCCTCTATGCTTTCCTTTTGCAGCGCCGTTTTCTTGTCTCTGCACTCGTACTCATCTCTGCTCCTCTTCGCCATCTTTTTCTTTAGATCATGTGACAGTCACATGATAAATTGTGCTACACGTGGTTCAAGCAATCTGATTGGGACGTCGATTTCTCTGCATGAACACAAGTTTAGACTAGCAGTGTCTCCAGACCCTTCCTCTGTAGGTAGCGAAGGGGCGGGGTGAGACTAGTCATGCAAGTACTGTACATGTACATGTACAGTGTATATTACACGTACACGTACACGTACACATACATGCATTGTTTCTACTTTAGATGTATGTACATGTGCATGTACAGTATATGCAGCCTTAGCTAACCTTCATCACTGCTCTTCAGTGAACCAGAATGCGACCTTCGAGCATCAAATAATGGAGGATGAGAAATATCGTACAATGTGACAACAGGAGACATCAGCTCAGTTGGCATCTCAGAATTATTAATAGAACCAACAGGAACAGGCTCAGACCTGTGAGCACTTACTGTCCGTGGAGTGTGTGATAGATATGAAGTGTGTGCTGGTGTATAAGAGGAGGAAGGAGGTGTGTGTGAGAGACAAGAGGCAGAAGTGGAGGATAAATGAGATAAATAAGAGCCATGAGGAGGATAAGAACCAGGAGGATGAGGGGGAGGAGGGGTGGGAACTATAAAGAGAGAGAGATTATTACCAAGCGCTAGCGCTTGTTACCAAGCGCTAGCGCTTGGTATGTAGGGTTGAGTTGGACGAGCGCGCCCCCAAAATGGCTGCCATCCCAGAAGCATTGAGCCCGTTTAATATCTTTAGAAACTCTTTGTGGCTTATTTGACAGTCCAAATATCCTTTATAATTTCATAAAAACATTTCAGTGTTATAAAAAGTAGCAAAAAACTTCCATAAGATAGTTATACGGCAAATGGATGCTTGCATGCCTGCATGCACCAAATGTTCAGGTTTCTCCTTCTTCTTCTTCCACAGTTAAGGAAGAACTAGTCCTACAGTTTTTATCCTAGAAATATGATTTTTGCCCCATTGTGCTGTGTTTCAGGGACGCTAGTGCAGTGTGGCTTGGCATTGTAATT